AGAGTTTCAATCTCTTTAATTTTATTCTTGAGCACACTGAACTGTCTGTCTCAATTTTTTTGTAACTCATTCACTTTCTTTATGACAACTATTTTGAGTTCTCTGTCATGTAGATTGTAAATTTCTGTGACTTCAGCATTTGTTTCCTGAGACTTGTCATTTTCCTTCTGCTGTGAAGTGTTACTGTAGTTCTTCATGGTGTTTGAAGAATTGATCCTTTGCTGGTGCATTTGTGGTAGTATCAGGTCGCAGATTCCACCTGTCACTGCTGGATGGGAGCAGGAGCTGTGTTTTCTGATCCTGCCCCATCTGCTGGAAGTTTTGTCGGTAGGGCTACTCTGTGCTTGCTACTCTGTGCTTGCGTGGCCTGGCCACAGCCACTCTGCAGGTTGTGCTGACATGGGCAGGGCCTCTACACTGGGTGGGCAGGTCAGGCGCCAAAGGTGGGGCCTCTGTTCTCGGCAGGGGACTGGCTAAGCTGCTGTGCTAGGCGACAAGGGTGCCTATGCTGGGGGTGAGCCACCACTCAGTGGGTCCTGTGAGCTGCTGTGCTCCATGAGCAAGGCGTCTTCTTGCCTACATTGCAGTAAGGGCAAGGGGCACCCACACGGGGGCTGAGCCACCACTTGGTGGGTCCCATGGGCTGTGGTGCTCTGCAGGCAGGGATGCCTTCTGAGTGTGCTGGATGCCTTCTTGGCTGTGCTGTGCTCAGTGCATAGGCGCCTTCATGGCGGCTGAGCTGCAGCCACTTGGTGTAGATCATTCTCACTGTCAGGGTCACTGTGGCATGGTGGGTGCTCCCATGGGCTGGGCTGTAACTCCAAAAGCATTTGCTCAGGTTGGGCTGTATGACACATATTTCTTAACCATGGGGCATATTGCCTTGAGAATACTGGTTTTAAGAAAGAATGATGAAAATTGTTCTTTTTGAAAATCTATCACACTGATGTTAATAGCAATGCATTTGAAATTAAGGAAACATTTGATACATTGAGTTGAGGTCATTTTTATCCTGCTGCCTCAGGCGATTGATATTAAAATAGAAATATGGTCAAGTAAGACTAATTTTTAACTGTGAGAGGTGTTCATATAAAAGTAAATGTAGGCCAATTCGATATATTCACTTAACTCTCATTAAAACAAAATCATATGCCTCATATTTGGAAATTTGGAGAATAAAGTAATTGATGGTATTATGTAATATCTACTTTAAAGAGTTAAGGCTACGGAGAATAAAGTAATTGATGGTATTATGTAATATCTACTTTAAAGAGTTAAGGCTACAAGTAATTTTCCTAGTGTACAGAAGCTGGAGCTTCTCAGTAATAAATCTCTAAGTGTACTTTGAACATAGAGTGACCTGGGAATTTACAACCACAGTTTCTTTTGAAATTTAAGTCTCTAGATCAGTGCTGTCCAATAGAAATTTCTGTGATGATGGGAATATTTTATATCTGTAGTGTCCATATGGAAGTCCCTAGTTACATGTGTCTAATATGACTAAGGAACTGAATTTAAACTTTATTTAATTTTAATTAAAATATAAAGGGCCATAGGCAACTATCATGTAGACATATGGCGACCATATTAGACTGTGTAGCTATAGACCTTTAATGTGTGGTGATATTCAGGAGTCTTTAGGCTTTAGTAGCACAAAATGAGTAGACTGTGACTCTGGACACACGGAGCATTCATCTTGACTTTATTAGAGTGCTCTAGAACTGAGATCAGATATCCTAGATTTTTGAGTCTTGATTGGAATACAGCTTTGGATTCTGATCACAGCTTCTCTGACTGTGATTTTAAATGACCTTGACTGTGATTTCAACATGATTCCAAACTGAACCTCTCATTCCCTGAAACTATGCCTGAAACCAAATTTCTCATGCTTCCAGCTGCTTTTTCATCTGTTACTATGGTTCTGCCCTTTTTTCCTGGCACAATGATGCTATCCTCTAGTTTAGTGGTTGCTTACAAAATTAATTTACCTAGAAAACTTGGTGTTATATGTGCATTCCATTACCTTATTCTATCTCTTGTCCAGTTGTCCAGTCTCTCTCTGAGTCTCTTTTCCTTCTTCTCCTTTATCACTTTGCTTGCACTGTTTCATTACTCCTTACCTGGGCTATTGAATTATCCTCTTAACTGGCCTTCCCATTTCTAATATTCTTCACCACTTGATCCATCTTCTATCCTTCCACCAAAAATCTTCCTTAAACAGAACTTTGATTATATAGTTTTTCGAGTCATTAAGTTTTTGGACCCTTTACCAATGCCTGTAGAATAGTGCCGAAATTCCTAATGTGAGATTCGAAACCCTGTTATTCCCTCATGACAAAGCTGCACCCTTCGCTGGAAAAATTAAATGAACTAACAGAGATGAACAGTCTTGGCAAAGAATGAGAACAGAAAAATGACTTGGAAAACTCCATAGGTGAAAACAATATGTAACTTGTGTTAGACCCTTCCTTAAAGTTTCCTGATAATTCTTAGTTTAACTCCATTTGAAAATTAAGCTGCATTATATTCTCCAGTCTACCTTTTTTGTGTGAAGAGCAATACAAGATTTAATTTTGCTTTTCTTCATGCTTTGCCTGGAGAAAAAAGTGAAGTATTACAAACCTTATCATAGCTGTAAGAGGAATGCGAAGGAAGAAAACCACAAGGAAGAGGAAGAGTTAGTCCTACTTGAACAGTCACTGTAATACCTACCCTTAAGACTTTATCTCTCTCCATCTCTTAAAGGACTTGAGATTTTAATTAGTTAAGAGGGCTGATTTTTCTGTTTGAATATTGCCCTGGGTGGTATTGTTACTCTTCTTTCCCAGTCTCTTTCACTCCACATGTAGGCAAGGAATACTCAAATACAAAGAATGATGGAGGTTGGTAGGGAGACGAATTTATCGGGTGGTATTATTTGCATTTTTTTGGAAATATTGTCAACTTATTATTATTACTGCTGGCTTGAGGAAAAAATACTATAGACTCTAAAGGCTTGATGTTACATTAGAAGTCCTTTATTCTGAATCTCTAATTTTACAGATGGAGGAATACACACAAAGATAGAATCAGAATGGTTTTGTGGAAAGAGCATATACTTCAGAGTCAAAGAAATTGGAAGTTGAAATTTGAGCACTGCCACTGTGAATTTTAGCTGTGTGAATTTGGGGACATTATTTAGTCTCTTGAAGCCTTAGTTTTCTTAACTGTAAAACAGGAATAACAATCAAGTTGTTCAGATGACTAAAAGAGACGAAGTATGTAAAGTACCTAGAACAATGGATGATGTATGGTAAATATTCAAAATAGTACTGTTATAATTTTTGTTAATATCATTAAAGAAGTTTTAATGAAGTGGTTGCCAACTGGTTTTAGATGCCTTCTCTTTGTAATGCAGAATTTTTTCTCCCGTGGGGATATGGAACAAACTAGATTTCTAGAAAAAGACCCAAGGAGAGCCTTGAAGCAGAAGTTAGTGAAAGGAAAAGAGTCCATTCACTCAAAATCAGGGAGCAGAAAAGACCTCTTCTCTAGAAAAGTGGGAACCTAAAGAGAAGATCATTCATTTATTCCACAAAAATTTGTTGAACACTTTTATCAGGCACTGTGCCATATCCACTGTGAATGCAGAGATATATCTTAGTCCCCCTAAAGAAATTCACAAATCAGTAAGGGGAAAGAATCTGTAAGCAGTGAGATTATAATACATTATGGGTAAACGTTATAATAGAGTCTTGAACAAAAACCTCTTAGATCACAGAAAAACAGATCTTCTTTGAGTAATGGAGTGTGGAAGTGCAGAAAAGATGAAGGAGTTGGGGAAGAGCTCATTGAGAACCTAGCCTACACTAGAAAATACTGAGCGAAAAATATCTGGATTTGTCCCTGAGCCTGTGGCAAAGTGCCCACATCAGGAGTTGATAACAGAAGAGAACAGGCTAGTGAATAGTGAAGAAAGGAATTTGTGGTGTGCCTGGCTTATTCACGGCACTTGGCCAAAACCCTTCAAATATATAATCTTAAGTTGCATTTTATGTATCACATTGATGTAGTATGATTGCCTACTTATATTTAATTTCTTCATAAGAGCCCTAAAACCTATAATAAATATTTCAGTTATAGGAAGTGACTGAGTTAATGGGTAATCAATATCTGTGAAGAAAGGGAACAGAAAATAGTGAAAAACTATATAATTTAGGACAGTGATTCTCAGTGCAGTCCCTGGATCCAGCAAAATCAACATCACCTAAGAACTTGTTAGAAATGGAAATTATCTGGCCCTACCCCAGACCTACTGAAACAGAAATCCTGGGGGTGGGCCTAGTAATCTGTTGTAAGAAGTTCTCCTGGTGAGATTAATAACCTGCCGTTTTTTTGTGTGAGTGTGTGTGAGGGAGATTAGTCCTGAGCTACCATCCACTGCAAATCTTCTTTTTGCTTGAGGAAGATTGGCCTTGAGTTAACATCTGTGCCAGTCTTCCTCTAGTTTGTATGTGGAACACCACCACAGCATGGCTTGATAAGTTGTGTGTAGGTCCATGCCCAGGATCTGAACCTGTGAACCCCGGGCCGCTAAAGTGGAGTGCATGAACTTAACCACTACGCCACTGGGCCGGTCCCTAATAACCTGCTTTATGCCACGGTTCAGTAATCTATAGCCTGTGGATCCAATGTGGTCCATAATCTGCTTTTATAAATAAAATTATATTGAAACACAGTTGTACTTATTTATTATTATTTATGGCTGCTTTTGTGCTACAGTGGCACAGTATTGAGTAGTTGGAACAGAGACCTTATGGCCTGCAAAGCCAAACGTATTTATTATTTGTTCCTTTACAGAAAAAGTTTGCTGACTCCTGCTTTAGGCCTTAGGCATTAGGTAGATGTCTAAACTCTGAAAGTATAAGCAGATATTTGCTAATTGAATGGAAGACCATGAAGGAAAAAGAGGAAATTTCCTATGATTTTAAAATTCTTAACCTGTTATCTTTCCCTTTTAGTCAAGGATGCTATCTAAATGGGCCTTTTAGTTCAAATCTACTGACAATCCCGAAGCAAAGGTCATCTTCTGTGTCGCTAACTCACCATATAGGTCTGAGAAGAGCTGGTAAGACATCATTCTTTACGATTTAAATATGGGTGGTCTCAAAGTATATAGTAGTGAAAATATTTTTCATTACACATTTAGAGCTAAGTTTGAATACCATTTCATGTGTTGTAAGTTAATATGACTAAGCAGTTTGGGTTGGCTATTAGTTGACTATTTGCTCATTCATTGAGTAAACGCTTTCTGAACATCTACTATTTACCAGACACTTTGTTAGGCACTAGGGATTCAGGGGTAAAATATAAAACTATTTAACTAATAGTTGCAAATTCAGATTCACATATCCATAAAGAGGGAAGATCCTCAGAAAAGGGTATTCTTTTGTGGCATGGTAATTGTAGAGAAAATATTTACTTTAGAAAAATATTATTTTCTACTCTCTTAATATGAGAGTAGAAAAACCCTAGCTATATCCTAATTATGATAGGATTTACTTATTTATGATATAATTGACATATAGCATTATATTAGTTTCAGGTGTACAGCATAATGATTCGATATTTGTACATATTGCAAAATGACCACCATAGTAAGTCTAGTTAATATCTGTCACTATAGATAGTTAAAAATTTTTTTTCTTGTGATGAGAACCTTTTTTTGTGAGGAAGAGTGGCCCTGAACTAACATCTGCCACCAATCTTCCGCTTTTAGCTTGAGGAAGATTGTCCCTGAGCTAAGATCTGTGCCAATCTTCCTTTGTTTTATTTGGGATGCTGCCACAGTGTGGCTTGATGAGCGGTGCTAGGTCTGCACCCAGGATGCAAACCTGTGAACCCTGGGCTGCCAAAGTAGAGCATGTCCACTTAACTACTACACCACTGAGCTGGCCCCTGTGATAAGAACTTTTAAGACCTATTCTCTTAGCAACTTTCAAATATACAATACAGTATTATTAACTATAGTCACTATGCTATACGTTACACCCCCAGGATTTTCTTGTTTTATAACTGAATGTTTGTACTTTTTGACTCCCTTCACCCATTTTACCCACCCCTCACTAGTGGGAATTTTCTTTAACTGAAAAGATTATAGAATGCTTTAAAACTTTTTGGATGAAAGATGTTTTCTAGGTACAACATAGTAATAACATAACAACACTGATATTCTGCTTTCAAAGTACATTATGTCTGGTGATAGACAGGGGCAATGGGATATACATACAGTCACAAAATTCTTGTACACACAATATTTGGCATGAAATAGAAAACTAACATGCCAAGAGGCAGGAAAATGTTATTGATAAGCAAGAAGAGCAGACACTAGAAGGAGATCTACATATGATATTGATGTTGGATTTAACAAAGTCTTTAAAATAACAATGATGTTTTAAAAGAAATAGAAGGAAAGATGGAGAAAAATGGATGGATAATTTTAACAGAGAACTGGCACACACAGAAAAGAAAAAGTAGTCAGTCTAGAACTGAGAAATGTAGTTGATTAAATTAAAAGCTTATAAGATGGGGCTGGCCCCGTAGCCGAGTGGTTAAGTTTGCGCGCTCCGCTGCAGGCAGCCCAGTGTTTCATTGGTTCAAATCCTGGGTGCGGACATGGCACTGCTCATCAAGCCACACTGAGGCAGCATCCCACATGCCACAACTAGAAGGACCCACAACGAAGAATACACAACTATGTACCGGGGGCCTTTGGGGAGAAAAAGGAAAAAAATAAAATCTTTAAAAAAAAAAAAAAAGCTTATAAGATGGTTTGAAAACAGATTGGACACAACAGAAAACAAAGAGTAGTGAACTTGAAGCCAGAGATATAGAAACTATCCAAACTAAAACCCACAGATGGAAAAAATATATAAATAAGCAAAGATGTTTGGTTTCCGGTTCTGCCTGTAAGGAACTTGGAAGTCACCATTCTGTCCTAACAACAACTAAGAAGTTGGACAGCCTGAAAAATCAACAACTGTTTTAGGGTCTCTAAGGGAGGTAAGGACACAGAGCAAACTGCTGCCTCCAGAATTGGAGGGATAAACAGGCAAATGCAGATTACTCAAGGCTGACTGGAGCAGAGACTCACAAGGGGAACTCAGTGAGCGCCAGTGCCTTGAATCAGTACTGGGGTAGGAAAACCTGCACTGTAACTGGCAAATTGCTGGAGGGTCAGTGGGGACAACTCTGAGAGTTAAAAACTCCAGGGGGAGCTAGTCATGGGGGAGGGTCCCCACAGTTTTTTGAGGTACACCTCCAGAAGTTCAACCAGGTTTCCACAGTAAATATTAGAGAAAATGCTTCTGTCAGGGGAGGGGAAAGGAACCTTTTTGAAATACAACAGAGCACCCTATTCTTCTTAACAAGACCTGCCCGCAGGAGAAACTAGTTACCCAGAGCCTCACCTCCCGGGGTATTATCAGGACCTGACTGATCTGCGGGAAGGGTAGTACCCAACTCCAGTCAGCTGTAGCCCTCCTCTCCCACCAAAGCAGGGAGGCAAAAAAAGCCCTAAGAAACACTTGTGAAGTTCACAGTTCGGAGACTTGGCTCACAAAAGAAAGACCTAATCATAGGACTGCATAACACTTCTCCCCAACACTTCACCACCACATTACTAAAGTCTTATTTATAGCAGTTCCTTTTACAGATACATTATGTCTGGCTATCAAGAGAAAATTACAAGGCACACCAAAAGGCAAAAAACACAATTTGGAGTGAGAGAGAAAACCATCAGAACCAGACATGGCAGGGATTTCAGAATTATCAGACTGGGAATTTATTTATTTATTTTTGGTGCGGAAGATTTGCTCTCAGCTAACATCCATTGCCAACCTTTCTCTTTTTTTTTTCTGCTTGAGGAAGATTAGCCCTGAGCTAACATCTGTTCCAATCTTCCTCTAATTTGTATGCAGGATGCCTCCACAGCGTGGCTGACGAGTGGAGTAGGTTTGCACCTGGGATCCAAACCTGTGAACCTGGCCACTGAAGCGGAGCATGTGGAACTTGAACCAGTTAGCCACAGGGCTGGCCTCCAGACTGGGAATTTAAAACAACCATGATTAGGGCCAGCCCTGGTGGCCTAGTGGTTAAATCTGGTGTGCTCTGCTTAGGTGATCCAGGTTCAGTTCCCAGGTGCAGACCTATACCACTCGTCAGTGGCTATGCTGTGGCAGCAGCTCCCATACAAAAAGAGGAAGATTTCAACAGATGTTAGCTTAGGGTGAATCTTCCTCAGCAGAAAGAAGAAGACTGGCAACAGATGTTAGCTCAGGGTGAATCTTCATCAGCAAAAAAACCCAAAAAAAACAAAAAACAGTGAACTTTTCTTTTAAAAACAAACAACAACTATGATTAATATGCCAAGGGCTCTAACAGATAAAGTAGACAACATGCAAGAATGGAGGGACACTGTGAGCAGAGAGATGGAAATCCTTAAAAAATCAAAAATAAATGGTAGAGGTCAAAAACACTAACAGAAATGAAGAATGCTTTTGACGGGCCTATGAGTAGGCTGCACACAGCTGAGGAAAGAACCTCTGATGTTGGGGATATGTCAGCAGAGACCTTCAAAACTGAAAAACATAGAAAGCAAAACTGAAAAAAACAAAACAGAATGTCCAAGCACTGTGCGACAACTACAAAGGAATACCAGAAGGAGAAGAGAGAAAGAAATGGAAGAAATATTTGAAACAATAATGACTGAGAATTTCCTCAAATTAATGTCAGACACCAAACCACAGATCCAGGAAGCTCAGAGAACATCAAACAGGATAAATGCCAAAAAACAATACCTAGGCATATAATTTTCAAATTATAGAAAATGAAAGATAAAGAAAAAGTCCTTAAAGAAGCCAGAGGGGAAAAAATACCTTACCTATAGAGGAACAAAGATAAGAATTACGTCCAAGGTTTTGGAAATCATGCGAGCAGGAACAGAGTGGAGTAAAATATTTAATGTGTTGAGAGGAAAAATACCACTAATCTACAATTATATACCCTGTGAAATTATCCTTCAAAACTAAAGGAGAAATAAAGACTTTTTCAGATGAAGAAAAATTGAGGGAACTTGTTTCCAGTAGATCTGACTTGCAAGAAATGTTAAAAGAAGTTCTTTAAAGAGAAGGAAAGTAATATCGGTCAGAAACTCAGCTCTACGTAAAGAAAGGAAGAGCACTGAAGAAGGAATAAATGAAGGGAAAATACAAACTTCTATTCTTATTTTTATTTGATCTCACAGATAACAGTTTGTTCAGAATAATAAGAGCAGCAATGTTTTTGATTGTGTGTGCTTACATATATTTTATGTATATATGTTTTGAATGCTTATATATAAGTGAAAGGAATGACAGCAATGATACAAGGAATAGAGGAATTAGGATTATTTTGTTATTATAAGGTACTCACACTATCTGTAAAGTGGTATAGTGTTGTTTGAAAGTGGACTTGGGTTAGTGGCAAACATATGTTGCAAATTTTAGGACAACCACTAAAAAAAAGTAGAAAAGGAAATATAGTGGATATTCTAAGAAAGGAGAAAAAGTGGAATCATAAAATGTTCAAATAAAACCACAAAAGGCAGAAGAGGAGTGGAAGACAAAAATAGGAACAAACAACAAGGGCAACAAATAGAAAACTGTAAAAGATATGGTAGATATTAATTCAACTATATCAGTAATCACTTTGGACATGAGTGATCTACAGGCACCAATTAAAAAACAAAGATTGTTAGAGTTGATCAAAGAGGAATACCCAACTATATGTTGGGTACAAGAAACCCACTTTAAATATAAAGGCTTGTGAAGATTAAAAGTAAGTGGGTGGAGAAAAAGATACCATGCTAACGTTAATCAAAAGAAAGCAGGAGTAGCTATATTAATTTCAGACAGAGCAGACTTCAAAGCTAGGGAAGCTATCAGGGATAAAGAGGGGCATTACATAATGATAAAGGGGTCAATTCTCCAAGAAGATGTAACAGTCCTTAACATGCGTGAGCCTGAATAACAGAACAACATGTAAGAGACATAATGGACACAGTCAGAGATTCTAATGTTTGTGTAACTG